TCTTCACCAGTTGTTCAACTCATTGAGAAGTTTAAAAAAAACAAACGAGAGGGATATTATTTTAGCAGTCGTAATCCAAAAATACCGTAACTATGTTCAATACAGACGACTGTTAATATAGAGCTACTGGCATTTGTGGTTCGAAAAAAACCTCTACCCTGATCGTTTTCGTACAAGCTGACCTCTTTACTTGTCTTCTGAACGCTAATTCAGAAGACATCTGTAGGATGTTACCAGATGTGTTGCACTAACCTACTCTTCTTTATTTGCATAGTTTCTCGTTGTATATTTTTCTCTGCGCACATTATATCTTGGTTTGAATGTCTAAAGTCAAATACACACATATATATAAGTATATGGGATACGTACTGCATGTTTGTATACCAAGATAAGCATCTCTTTCTGTTACATCGTATTTTATCAATATTAGATATTAAATAAACTTTGTAATTTTAACGTGGACACAAACAAACATGAATGAGAAATACTTGTATACAAGCGAACAACTACATGCGCACATTTAGGAGCTGTTTTTTTTTTCTTTTTATTCTGAAGTAATGTGAGATCCCTGATGATGGATCTTTTGTTGGAAGAGGGGTGGAGTCACGACATTTGCAGTGAGAAAGCACGCACGTGACACGTGCAGTTGTCCTTGTTCTAAACATGAGCGGGTGGGGTTATGCAAGGGGGTTGCGGTCATAAAAATTTATAGTCTGGCGTGAAGAGGTTCAACCACTTCGTGCAGTTAGCATCAACATTGAATGCACTTGCTGAAACTGAAGGTATCATTCGTTTACGATCATTCTGGTTTTGTAGCAGTCAAGGCACTTGCTGTGTGCCAGGTTGACGGAGTCCCAGGGTTAACTTAGTCCTCTACCTCCCACGACGGCACGGTGGAACTGCTTTATGTGCCCCACCGTACCGTTTGACGAGTTTTCCTCAGTAGGACACGAGAGAAAGCCCTTTTAAGAAACAGGCCTTTCCCTTTTCTGTTTTACATTTTGTTTTCTCTATACTAATTTTTTCGTCAATGATTTATTTTGAATTATTTTAATAGTAGTTAAAGCTTAAGTAAGTGAGTTAAATTCGAGGTTTTCACGTGTAGAAGACTGACGTTTGTCATTTGGCAGGCATTTACAAGATATCAAAGGTAAAGAGTGCTTCTTAAAATCAAAATTGTTAATTAAAGAAGCGAAACGATGAGTAATGACGTGTTCAAATATTGTTTTAGGTGTGCATTTCTGTCTGTATTAAGATGGCAGAAAAGCTCATTTGAATTTAACTAGTGTAATAAACAAAATCGCTAACAGAGACACGGGAGAGCATGAATAGAGAGACAATGTTTAATTTAAATAACTTGTTGAAAAAATATTGAGATTCTTGTGAGAAAAACGTTATAACATTTGTATCCGAAAAAACGATGAGAGTACTAAAACATTTATTTCTTTTTAAGTATATAAATTCCCCGGTGGTTCAGCGGTACACCTAAGGGCTTTTAACGCTGAAATTACTGGTTTGATCCCGACGATTGACACAGCTCAGATAGTCTGATATAGAGCTTTGCGCGGAAACGAAACAAATTGAATGCCCCCCAGTGGTACAGCAGTATGTCTGCGGACTTACAACGCTAGAAATCGGGTTTCGATACCCGTGGTGGGCAGAGCACAGATAGCCCATTGTGTAGCTTTGTGCATAACTACAAATAAACAAACAAAAACTAATTGAATATTTAATGCCTACTAATGAAAAAAGCAAATGTCCACGTATAGTGTTTGTTTTTTGTCATGTATGTTTCATAATAAATTCCGTTCACGGGAAGGCCTCTCAGTCACATACCTGTTGCGGTAGGATATTTCTTTGATAGGTTATAGTAAATGTTTGGTTCAGCAATAACTGGATCTTCGTTAATTCAGAATAGATTCATCAATTTTTTCATTGCTTTAAGTTTAAAGGGTTAAGCTTCTTGCCGACTAGTTCGAAATGTCTCAATTTTGAAAGAAATGCTTTTCCGCTAGATTTAAGAAATATTTCGCTTTTTCTTTATACTATTTGTTCCATATCTGTAATGACGTGCTTGCAAATGGAAAATAAAATAAAATGATTAATTCCTTTTAACTTTAGTTCGACGAATCCAGAGTTAACAAACCACTTAAGTCAATGAGGCCCGGCATGGCCAGATGGTTAGGGCGCTCGACTCGCATTCTGAGGGTCGCGGGTTCGAATCCCCGTCACACCAAACATGCTCGCCCTTTCAGCCGTGGGAGCGTTATAATGGGACAGTCAATCCCACTATTCATTATTAAAATAGTAGTCCAAGAGTTG